CATAGAGTTATTAAAAACTATGAAAACAAACTGGAAGAGTTTGAAAACCCAGGTTTGTAGTTCTTTTATATGGCATATTCCGGTAATAATTTCATATCATCGAATTTTAAGAAACAGTAGATGTCCATAGGAAATGAATATTACCATCAACATTCTGTGCTGATTTGATAAAAATCATTCTTAGGGTTATTAATACAGAGCTCTATTAGTCAATGTTTTAGGTTTTGTTTTCCACTGCAAACGGTGCTAAAAGTTAGAGCGTTCTGGTAAAACAGATTAACTATATAAGGAGAAAATTCCTTTCAGTATCAGTTTTTACATGAAAAAAATCGTTTTTTCATTTTAAATATGTAATAAGGTAAACAGATTTTTATGTTAAGATTTTAGCGATTATTTATTAGAAGTTTTACCTGTGTTAAAATATATGAATTCGTTCGAAATAATCGAATCGCTTTCAGAAAAATTTCGAAATGATTCATAATATTTTAAATATTTGCAAAAAAAAACTGACTTTTCGTGTTAATTTTCATATATTTTGGTTTGTAACTGTCAATAACTATTAGTGGCATAGGCTTACATTCATAAGTTTTAAATTTGCATACAATGCAAAAAGTATTTTTTGTTTATATACTTACCTAGCGGTCATCCACCCGCTCCTCTGGGCGACATGGGTCATGAAAGCAAATAAAAAAAACCTGACAAGTGCAAATAGAACTCGCATCCTGAGGGTTCCGTACCAATTTTATTTTTAGGTATATGTAGATATTTTATCTATCAAGAGTCTCGATATTTTTTTGTCTGTTTTACATTGATACAGGAGATATATTGGTCCTAGGAATTCCGAAACTTTTGCCTTTTTTTTTTAATTTTCGAATTTTCTTAAAATTATGGGAATTTTTGTAAATCTTAAGTTTTTATAGCGCGAATTTAAATAATTTTCTTCCTTATATTGACTTTCATAAAAAAATATCTTTGTCATAAGATTATTATAAATTATCAATTTTCAGATTTTTTTCTTTTACCTTTCTTTCTGGAAAATTTCACGATTGTAAGTCAATAGGCAGTGTCCAATATGTTTTCATTCATTTGTGAATTTCAAAATGTAAGGCTTAAATGGCCGTATTTTTTGATCGCCTTGACTTAGAAGCTTGACTCTTTAACGACTTCAATGCAATGTAGACGCAAGTATTTGGTGTTAATTTCCATTTAATACTTCCACGTATTCCTGAGAAATAGGGTCTTGACCGGCAGACTGAAAACGAAATGATACTACAAGGGTCCCCTTTTTGTTGAAAGATATGAAATCCTAAAAACGATGTCAACAGCATTGAGGATATATTTTGGTACGAACACTTTGAAAATATTTTATAAATAAATATTGATAAGTCAAAGGATTTTATTGAATAAAAGAATGATCAACGTACACGTTTTTCTTATTTTTACGGAATTATATTGCTTAGATAAATTTAAAAATTACCACTTCTAGATTCCTTGACATCGCGCCCGAATTCCAAAATTATAATGTGAGGTGATCTTAACTTTACTTGCAATTGTTAGGGTTTCGTAGGGAAATAGAGCTTCTCTCATAGTGTTAATCGTTTAATTCCATCTATTGAAATAGAATTTAGTGCTCAGACATGAAACTATAACGATGATTGGATATGTATTATTCTTCGGAAAAACTTTATGGCCACATTCACGTTTGGAAATCGCATCCGAAAAAATGTGTGCATATTCACCCAGTGAATGGATATTATTGGATCGGTCTAATAATTTATCAGGTGAGATGTTTCGAATTACAATATTCACTTCGGAAACAAAATCCAGGCCATAAAACCGCCTGAAAAGGAACTCTCACTTCGCATCAATCAAACTAAATATCTTTTGGTAGTTTTACTTCTAAAAAAGGTGAATATTTTACTTGACCGGAGTTTTCCAGCTACTGCATTTATAAATGGGAGAAGGAAATGTGTGTACGATTCTGGAAAAAAAAAACAAATATAATCCTCCCATGCGTTACGCAAGATCCAACTAGTGCATTATCAATCTGACTGAAAAGCGATGTCGATGTTCAACCAAAATATTTTGGACTAGTACTGCACTATGATACGTATAGGCACAACATGGAAGACGCACTGAGTTAGCGTGAGAATTATGATCCAATATTCTCTTCTTAGGAGGAACCCGTGTCAGCCAGCGGGACGCTATATCATTATTGGTTGCACCGATACAAGTGCGAAAATACAAGATGCAAAAAAACGAACTTATTATTTTTACTACAAGCACGTTAAGCGTAAAAAGATAATATTAGTTGTTTAGTTATATTATTAGTAAGTATTTGTTTTTCAAAACTCTTTATTGAAATAAACGTTTAAGAGCAAAAGATCGACATTTTTTAAATTAAATTTTTATTCTAGCCTCTCTTTTGAACTGTTTGGAACTTAAATTAAATGTATCGCACGTCTGGTATCACAGCGCCGAGTCATTGGATAAGATTTAATTTCTTATGTAAGATACTATATCTTCCACTTTTTCTGTGCATGTACTAAAAACGTCAAACGAGGGCGGCGAGGAATGTGAAGAGCCATTGTTTTGAATCAGAAGGCGTAGAGTTCAATCAGGAGGTTCAAATTGTGACCACACGCGAAAAGAGTGATGACTTTCTTGTTAACTAAATTAAATTAACCGACTCGGGAACTCGGTGACTCGGGGAGCACGTCAAACCTTCGGCCTCGGAAGTTGTCAAGGATCTGTGACGATGGTCATCAGGAGATCTCGACTTATCGCTCAATATGAAACACAAGGGTTAGCACCTCATCCACAACGGGGGTCCTGATCCCTACGCTCATCTACGGCAGCGAAAGTTGGGTGTGGCAAAAGGAAAATGAACGTGGATACGATGCAGGGGAGATGCAATTTCTGCATAGTACGTGGGGACTGTCTATGAGAGTAGAAACTGTTTTCAGACAGCGGTGTACGAAAGAAGATGTAGTGACAAAGTAGAGAAAGATATTTTGCGGTGGTTGGGCCATCTGGATGATGGATAGATGAATGAACGTAGACCGACAAAATAAATTTGTAGAGAGAACGCGTGTGATGCTAAAGCCGGCAAGGGTCACTCTAGAAAATCCTATACCGACCAAATTGGTGATATATTTAAGAAGGGCTAAATTTTGAGCACCTGAATCTAACGAGCTTGCCTGAAGGTAGATGTTGGTAAAGCAAGAGATATACGTAAATATCGTACTATGTCGTAATATATTCTTATGGAAAATGGAGCCAAGTTTATCATAATAATAATAATAAGATTGGGGAAGGGTTATGCCTCAGCAGTGAGGTGCTCAAAGTCTAACGTAATATACTAATGTAAATCCGGTAGCTGTTAAAAAGTTACATACGCAACTTGCTTACTTCCCCAATCATTGTGTATATTATTTTTTGACTGGAATGAAACATAACGGTATCACTGTAAATTAATGTACAGATAATCAGTAATATTATTTTTAAGGTTCCGTACGCAAGCACAAAATATGGAACTTTTACATTTTTTTCATGTCCTTCCGTCCGTCCGTGCGTTAAAGCCTTATAATTCCGCTCCTTTTTCATTATCTTACGTGAATGTCACAGAATTTAAAAGTATTCCATGCATAGATAATTGAAAGATAAAACTTATTTTTCGCATATCTTTTTGTAGGATATCGATCAATAAGTTTTTACAAACAAAGTTAAAGTATTTTTGGAACGAAGTTCCTTATGGCACGTTACACCTTTATAAGGATATATACATTTATAAAGCTTCAATAATGGCTTCAGTATTTGCTACTGCGCTTTTAACAGCATAAACAAATGCTGTTTTTAATTAAGTACGTTTACTACGATAATTTTTATCTTGTAACCGTTTACAAGATCATATTTACTGGCCATTATAGACTCAAAAGCATGAAGCAAGAGCAATTGCTATTATGGTCCTATATGGCGCTATAATGGCCAGTAAATATAACCAAATACTTAATAGATTTCAAATAAAATTTACGTTTCCCTGCGCAAATGCTACATCAAAAATAATAATTCAACCAAATAATAATTTTTAATTTAATTACTCTGGTAGACATTAATAAAAAAAAATTGAAAATAATCCATTAAGCTTAATATATCGATTGCGATCTATCCATGACCGTTCACAAATTTATACACATAATAAAATTATAATAGGCCGATGTGTGTACGTTATAGATATTAAAAAAAAACTGATATGGAGGGTCTTTATTAGAGCCGTAGAAGCCAGGAAGTTTTTAGAGTTTTTGTCTGTTTGACTGTCTGTATGTTTGTTACCGCATCACGTTTTTACGTGATGCGGTAACACGAGCGGTTTTTACCGCTGAACGGATTTTGATGAGGTTTTCACAGTTTGATTTCCTAGGTTTCTTAGAGTCCAACTTAACATTAAAATCTAAGCTATGTTTCATCTAATTCAGTTGGGCAGAACCCGAAATACAGCTTGACCTCTCGTACAGTAGTACTGTCTTTCATACATTAAAGATGTCATTTTAAATGGTCGTGTGGAAAAAATATGAATAAACGCCGACCGTTTTTTAAGTGATCTAAATATTATAGTATAGTAATATAGCCCACACGCGGGCGGAGCTGCAGGTAACTGCTAGTGAACTTATTAAAGCATTGCTGAGTGCGTATTTATTGTATAATAGGAATATTATTCGCATAAGTAGCATTTTAAAAATGGATTATAAATTAAATTACTCTATTTAGTTATAAAGTGGGCCCTTTTACCGACAGTATGCGTTTATAAATCCTTTATAGTCCTGATGAAACCTTGGTCTTGCGACAATTATAAAATTTATTTTTGCTTCTTGGGACTCCGTATGCTGGTGAATGAGAGTTAGGTCGAAAGAAATACAAGAGTTAATGAGGTCATGGCACTTTCGCTGTAGTTACATTTCAGAGGTTGCTCGTAGTCAAGTTCTACGAGTCGTCAATCGGCAACGTCCATACCGCGCTGAACGCACCGGTTCTGCGTCCGACCACTGCAGTTAAGTAGTGTCGGACGAAGCCAGTGCTTGGATGGGTGACCGCCTGGCAGGCCGTGCTGTTGGGAACACAGCAAGTTATTGGCTTTTTGTGTTTATTTTTTGGTTATTGATACAGATAAATAACCTATTTTAATAAATTATTCTCAAAAGTTAATTTTGTTCATTAATTCTTTTATTTAATATATAATATATAGCTAAAGGAATTTTATTCCAATCGGGTGTCCCACAAAACGACCCTCGTTAAGTTTTTTAAGTTAGTTTTTCGCTCAAATATGTATAGGTATTTTGCGATTTAATAGTATCTAAAGTTGTTAATGTTGTATTGCCTTCTCTAACATTTCAATAGAGTATTTTGAAAAATTAAAAAAAATATATGTAGAGATCTATTTCTATTTTTTACCTACCATTGTTTTTTGTATTTAAACTGTTTATAAAATTCTAATTTTAAAAAACAGTTTGAATACAAAAAATAATGGAATCTGTTAACAAATTTTTAATATACGAATATATAAATATCTAAGGTTTTGTAATTGTATCTAATGACCGTAATATGAGCATACATGTGAATTATAATTGATGAAGGTAAGATAGGTAGGTACTCGTGAACAATTTTCAAAAGTATTTTTGTGTCGATATTATTTTAGATATTTACCTAATTTATTTTACAAATAAATAAATCAATATTTTCATCAGTTTCAATTATAACGGTTACCGGTAAAATGTTTTTTTTCCCTTTTATATTTGTTAGATGACGATTTGTAGCCTATACAGTAAACCATTTTTTCCATTAATTAAACATATCAAATTCCCCGCGCTGTCTTAATAGCATTAAATAGTAATTATCTATTTTGTCACAGTTGTCAAGATAAAATACAGTAGGTAGGTACGCTTTAATTTAATTAATAAACCCAAGAACTTAACAAACGCTTTAACTATAAAGCTACTTTGGACTATAGTATATATATAATTATTATTTTACAAGATATTAATTTACCAGTCACAATTTTCAAATTTATGGCCTTAACAGTTACTGCTTAAAAATTGGAACGCGCGCGGAGATGCATATTGACATAGTGTACTGTACCTTCCAGTATCTAATGAACGACGGCTTTGAAAATGACGCCTCAAAAGCCCATCTCATTAAAAAGTTTAATTTTTTTCTTTTTTTTGGAAAAAATAACTACACCGTTTAATCAATCATTACACTATTTATGTGGTCAAATTAACAACGAACTTATACTACGCGAAATGTCTAATTGTATGTGAAAAATTTATGGCTAGGTAAATTAGAATGTTATCAAGAATAGAATATTCATTTAGATGTATATGTTTCATCTTAAAAAAAATAATCGACTCGTAACATTACACCTATATTAGTTTTTATCCTCAATGCTCCTCATGCCTCTTGCCAAAATATTTTACGTGGCACAGATGCGATGAAATGTCCTTACTACGTAAATAAGAGTGGTAAATGTGAGGATTAAATTAAAAGTCATGCTTTAATTTGAGAAGCAATTAAAATGTAGGAAACATTTAATCTAAGAGAGTTGCGACTGCGACTAAAGCGTCAGTGTCAATTTTGGATACCATTTGGTAGTGTTACGTTAGACTTGCTCATAGAGGGCACTGAGTACACGAACCCCGCCAGTACAAAGCGCCACGAGATCAGAACCATAGATGAATATGAATATATAGAGAACATATAGATCAGAACTGCGCTAGGACCATAGGACTACGGTAATGTTACACACTGTCAAGTATCTATAATGACGAAATATTAATAATGAAACGATTGTGATGAAAATTGTATGAATTTTGAAAGAATTGATAGGACCGCTTGCGTTTAGGTGACGAAGAATACCTACCTACCTAGTTTATAGGTGATGATTTAAATACTTACTCATACATTTTTCTTATTAAATATAGAATTATTTTAAACGTATATGCATCTAACTACATAATTTCACATATATTTATATTCATGCCTATTGTTATCACTATAACAATTAAAATATATTTGAAGTAGGTATTTTCTACGTAATATACATAAATATTTAGTTTTTGTATTATAGTTTGTGGATACGAGTTAAAAAAATATTACCTAGGTAGGTACCTAATTCAATAATACAGGCCTGAAAGAAACGTTAGAAACAAATAATGTTCATCCTTAGATAAATGCGTTCTAATAACTTTATTCCTAGTCCTCAAATAAGGTCCACGTATTAAAGTCCTTTGGTGTCGTACGATTTTTTTAATTCAGTTTATAAAAAAAGACAAGTCAGTTTTGATAACCTCCCGGTGAGTATTTTGAAATATTTAACAATTGTACGATAGAATAATTTTGTTTGATTTCCAGGATTTTGTATTTTAGGAACGATTTCCTAAAAAGCAAACATACATACATGTGTATAGCAAAAAATCCCTGTACACAAGTCCATAACAGACGCTAACCACACGATACGACGATTCGGTGGAAGATTTGAGCGGAATATTTGCCTCGCCGTTTGCGCGAGTTTTCACTCGACACATTGTCCGATTGTTCGACCAATAATTTGTGAATAGCTTCGAATGGTATCGCATCACTGTGCAAAAGGACCCAGAACGGTGATTAGGACACGTTTGTGTATTTCCTATTGTGTAAATCTATTTCTTGCTGGTATAATCTCCGGAAAATTTCGACGTATAATGAGATACGTAGGCAAAGACAAAAATAGAACAAATGTAAAAAAAATTATCGAGGACATAATTTCCTATTAATTTACATATTTAAATCCATTAAATACATGTGTTATAACAAACGAAATATAAATCTCGAGATTTGTATTAGTTTTGGTCTTGTTTTGATATTTAGCAGCGTATATTTTATATATAATACAATCAGTAAATGTGAGAATTTTTATGTTATCCTTATACATGTATAATCCATACCATTTCTGTATTTTTGGGGATTAAAATCTTTGTTTTAATTATATTTATTAGTTTTTCGCCTAGGTCACACAATCGTATCAGAAAGTGAATTTAATAACTGACCGAAGGTCAATATGTTTACGTCCATAGATAAGCTAAGTGGAATTAAACGGAATTTGGTATATTGTAATGAAAACTGATAATTATATAAAGCTTCATCTTTAAATTACAATAATATTTGGGTGCTTGAATAAAAAATAATTACAGTCCGCATAACTAAAAAATAAAATGAAAATTTCGTAATATTATAATTGAAAAGTGCCGAAGTATTTAAGGAAATAATAAATAAAAAAGGGAAATATATTGGTCATTCACCGATGTCAAAATAAGCTAAGCATATAGAAATAATAAATACATCTAAAGTAAATCTTTATTAGTAAAATACAAGGACCACCTTGCTCTTTCATTGTCTTGTAATTTTTCTTGCCAGGCTATATTTTAGGCACCGTAATTTGTTACAAAATCCAAATTAACAAAATCGAAAATTGCTGTTCTTAATATCAAACATCAGTCATAGTAGAAAAATGGGATATTCAATTTAATCCTTATAATTAATCTGTATCCGAAGAACGACGACTTCGTTTTTCTTTAAAATCTGCTTCTTTGTAACACTCTTGTATGGATTGAAATACTAAATTATCTATCTTATTCATAAGTATCTCTCTATTCATTTGAGGTATCTTTCTGAGCTTTCCTATTAGCAATCTGCAATACAGCTCGCATTCATCTTCCTCGCGAGCGAAGTACCTAAGATTGCTCATGTCCCCACCGTGTACTTTAGTAACTTTTGATAGGGGATCATACAGATTTCTGGAGAGGAAATCTTTCCTTTGTCTTTTGGTAGTACTAGGTAAATCTTGTACTTCATCTATTATATCGGCGGCTTCCTCTTTGATATTTTGGTCATTTTCAACGTAGTATATTATTTCCCCTGAATCCTGATTTAGCTCTGGATCAGACTCATAATACGTGTCTTCTGATACCTCTGCATAACTCCCGTCGCAACTACGGTTAAGGGCTGCGTTTCCTAAAAAACTATCCATGATCTCATAAGCAAACCACGGCGGTTTATACGTTCCTTTGCCAGATTTCATGAATTGTCTAACTTTCTTTTGATTCTGTCGATAGGCTGCCATCAAGGATTCCTTTTTTCGTTTCATCTCTGACACAGTAACTACGCCCATCTTCGCTTGTATTCGGTCCCAAGCGTCTTGTACATCCCTCTTGCTTTTATTTAAAGGGTCTTGTTGGTTCCATATGCACGGTTCTTGTTTGTACAATTCGATAAATTTCAAAGTTAAACTATTACTCCACGATAACGACATATTTGACACAAAGCGTCTAACCTATAAACAAGCCTAGCACGAATAGCTGTAAGCCGGCCAAGTAGAGGGGGACGCAAATGTTTGCGTCGTGAAGTTGGCGCTCGGCGTTGCGGCGAATACGACGAAAGCGCGACAGTGTTCGTCGAACACGATAGGTTAATACCGCTTGGTATTTTGTTCGGGCACGTTCAGAAACCAATTTTATGGCTTATGCGTCACAATGTAATATTTTAGCAATGCATTTTAATAATACTTTATTGGTATAAATGATAATTATTTGTATAGATAATCTATAAGATTTATTTGTTAAATGAATATTATTTTTGTAGTAGTCTCTTTAATATTATGCAATATCTTATACGTCTAATGTATTATAATGTATAATGTATTATAACACTACTTATGTGTTATTATTTCATTTCGCTGTTTAGTCTAAACATTTTAAATCACACATTAGCTTGTTTTTTATTTCATACAAGTTGTGTTATATTTATTGTCAAATATGTAAGAATTTTTGATATATTTGTAGAATATTCTTTGTGGCGATTTATCGTAATTTCGTATAACAGTTAATTAAATTATAGACTATTTTCATACTATTTTAGTGAAACCTTTAGTAAGTATAGGAATTACAAAGAAACCATTTTTTTTTACACATATACCTACAATAAAATATAAAGCAAATACGAAAACATTCTTGCTTTATTAATATTTACATTAATTGTCTTATTTTTTCTGGTCCTTTCACCATCTAACTTGGATGAATCTT